CTGATACCTGGTACTATGCCGAACATTTTCTAGTAGGTTTTATCGGGTTAACTCACAAGCTGATCTAGGTCAGTTTTTTGGGCGGGGTATTTGGGGGTGTCTGGCAGGTACACCCCGCCATTAAAAATGTCTGGCGGTGACCATTCCTGATACCTGGTACTATTCTCAACATTTTCCAGTAGGTTTCATCGGGTTAACTCACAAGCTGATTTAGCTTAATTTTGGGGTACCGGTTTCTTGCTGTCTCTTATACACATCTAGATGTGTATAAGAGACAGTACCCCATCTCCAATATAGGAATCTTATCTGGGGGAACACCTACAAAAGTGTAAAGGAAACCATTTGGAAACTTCTGAAAAAAGCTGCTAGAGTAATAACATTCTCAAACAATAGACCGGCATCTGAACCATTATTTAACAAATTAAAAATACTCAATATTCGTGACATTTACAAACATAATGTCATACAATTCATGTCAAACGTCAAATGTGGCAAATTACGTGTTTGCCACATGAACATGTAGTATTTTCTATAAGTATAATAATATTTCCCACAATCCCAGAAACAAAAATAAAATGCATGTTCCATTTGCAAGACTGACTTGTAGTTAGCACTTGCTACACATAAGTGGACCCAAATTATAAAAATTTTTGTTGGACAAAATCCCACATATTTTACGTAAAACTTACAACGGTCTAAAATTATCTTTAAAAAAATTATCTGTTGCCAATGTACTTTATATAAGTCATGTCTACATGAGAGATCGAACATGAATGGTATCATTTGACAATTTGATTTGTCATCAATTATGATTATTAGCAATATATACTGTATTTGTTTTCCACTGCTTTTGATGGTTGCATGAATGTATTTTGTATAAGGAATACACACCGACACACCGTACAAGTAATTTGTCGATTTTTTCCGCTTTTGTGATTTTGTCTGATTGTGAAAGTTCGTATTCCTTGTTTTTGCTGAAATCCAATGTTTTTAGTATCATTTCTTATGAAATGATTCGCTGAAATCCGATATGTTAGACATACGTCTGTTAATAAATGCGGGAATATATTTCAGGATGGACGAAGGATGGTTAGGTTTGCTGTTGTCGTATAGCAGTTGATATGCTGTCTCTTATACACATCTAGATGTGTATAAGAGACAGAAGGTGTATTTTACCGTTTTTCAAACATGCTCCATCAATGATCGTGACGTCATCTAAAGCAATATCACCTGTATCACTCCTTCCTACAATTCCTTCAAACACTATCTGGAAGGCACTCATTGTTTCAACTGAGATTTTTCCAAGTCGCCAAAGGTTTTCTTGGTTGTTTGTATTTGTCCACGCAGGTACACCAACAGTACCTGTTGTATCGACTATGTATACATTCAATGTGTTTACTGTGACCCCGTACATGTGGTAAAACCACTTAACGCATGTGCCGTTTGTTGCAGGATATGGCAATGTCCAAAGACGAGCGGTTTCATTGTTGTATCGCGGATATGAAGTTTCAATGTACATGTAGGAACCTGTAAGCAAATGAGAAAATAAATGTTCCGGTGTAATAGAGATTTTTATAGATCTATTTGATGTTTATTTTATATATTTTGTTTGTAGTTTTAAATATTTTCTTTAGAAATGTATAATTTAATTTAGAAAATATAAATTCATGTCAGCTTTTTTATACCTTGTAATGTTCCGTAAGTGTGGTCATACTCAGGACCAGTACCATATGTGGGTGTTGATCCAGATGTTCTTATCCAATCAAAGTCATCTGATTCATCTTGTGCAAAGTAACAAAGGTTTGGATCTTCGAAATCACATTGGGCTTGATCTAAAGAAATACACCGTACAACAAAACATCTTCTATACTTTCCTCTACCAGCAATATTTGATAATGAGTTCCGGGAACTCTATTTCTACCAAAGATCAGCAAAATTTGGTATGAACATTTTGGATAATACAAAATAATCATCTAGTTTCTAAATCAACTAGCATGAAGTTGAACAGGTATCAACTGCATATATTCACATGTTAATAGTAACTACCAAAACATCTTATATTGTAGTTTTAAATATTATAATATTACATTATTAGCTTCTTCAAAACTGATTTACTGCATTTGACAGATTCTCATTCAAACTAAAGACAACTTTCTAATACCTGAAAGATTTACAACATGCTTTTAGTTAATAAGTTAATACGTTTTCCTTTGAATACAATAATGTTAATATGTTAAAAATAATGAAAGAATTAAATAAACTGTGCCATTAAATAATACTAGAATATCTGCTTAAAGTTAAAATTATTAAATAATAGTCTATTTTTTTAATGTTGTCTCTATCTTATTTTCTTTGTCTTAATACCATTAATAACATTAGGACAAAATATGTAATATCACATTTGCAAACTTAAACTCATGACTGATGTTCCCATCTATCTTAACGTTTGCTGAGTGTTTTTGCTGTTAACTAATTGTAAATGTTTAGTAATCTTCCTATTAAACTGCATTCACATCGGATCCAAACAAAAATTCGGGCCGCGTTTTCGAAGGGCTGAGCTGCAGCGTCCCTGTTTCTTACACACTGATTCGTTTATTGATCGCTTGAGCAGATGTCCCGATCCGAAAATTCGGATTTGGTGTGAATCATGTTAATGCACCTTTAGTCCTGCTTTATTCATATGGCATGATAGGGGATATTTAACAGGTGGTCAACCTATGCGTTTTCACAGAATTTTTGTCATGATTACTGTTGGTGCACTCCAACATTAAACGTAAATATAGCCAATAAATATTAAAAGCTAACCAATAAAATACACTAAAACATACATAATTATGTTGCTGTCTAATTGAATTAAATAATATGCATACTGTCTAATCTTTTTCCATGGTATTTATGTTGTATAAAATGTTAACAATGTTCTGCACTCTAGGATAACTATTATATTTAGCTGCATGCGTAATCCACATTTACGCCTTAACTGTAAAAGCTTACCTATATTGCATGTTGGTCCAAAATAACCAGTCATACACTGACAGTTCTCGATACCATAATCCAAAATGACACAAACTCCACCGTTCATGCAGTTAATATCGCAAGTTTCTTCAATTATAAATTAAACATTGATTAATTAAATACTTTGTTCGTATATGTAGAGTAATATCACTCATCAAAAACAAACAACAATTTATACTTGCACGAACACATTTTTCTTTTCTTCAGAAAACAACATTTGTCTATCAGGAATCAAGCTCAAGAGCCTTCGATAGGATTCTGACTATTCATGTTGTATAAAATGTTAACAATGTTCTGCACTCTAGGATAACTATTATATTTAGCTGCATGCGTAATCCACATTTAAGCCTTAACTGTAAAAGCTTACCTCTATTGCATGTTGGTCCAAAAAAACCAGTCATACACTGACAGTTCTCGATACCATAATCCAAAATGACACAAACTCCACCGTTCATGCAGTTAATATCGCAAGTTTCTTCAATTATAAATTAAAAATAGATTAATTAAATACTTTCTCGAATAAGAACTTGATTATAATTGTGTCAAACATGAAAATTTAATCTTTTTAATGTTACATGAAAAAAAAATATCTGTCGTGATACGAACCTGCAACCTGCAAGGCTATCAAAATCTAGGAAACAATTAAATATATCTATTCATTTGTCAATTTGTTTGATTGTGGACAAATTAATCCAAAAAGTTGATGGCGTGTACAACACCCATCACCAGATAATAAACTGTCCCTGTAAAACTGGCTTTTAACCCCACTACATGTTCTGCTTCTCATTCAGACAATGTTATGCTGTTCTCATTTTGATTTACCGCAATGTCTGTGAGATGTATTTAAAAAAAATAATGTTTTATTTTGCAACTGAATTTATTAGCCTCCCTAAGCCTGTGCTCTACGGGTACGAGTTTATGGTTAAGCTATGTTTTGTCGCTGTAAAATAAAATAAACATTTGCATAAGAACAAAGAATTTATTCGAGTCTAAGGCCAGCTAACAGATCGAAATGTCATTATTGCCGAAATACGTCCGTTCATACACACCTTTACGGGAATGTAATGCAACCTATCCAGATGACTTTGAATTTTGCAATGAACTTGAAACGACGTTTTTAAATAATTGTATTACAGAAAAGTAGAGTTTAGTAGTAAATAGAAAGCGCCGCTTTGAAAACGGAAGTGTATCTAAAATAAAAAGAAATATGAAGGTCGGAACATCATTGGTCAAAGGCACGCCGACTTTATATGCATGCAGGTCCCAGACAAAACGTTCAAAAATCAATATAATAAACCTGACTATACATTTGACAACCCGAATAGTGCGACCAAATTCACTCACCATTTAACTTGGAAGCTATCAAAGAATGTGAACAATACGCTGAAAAGATGTTAATCATCTTTGCCAGGCCAGGATCCAACCTTGATAATATATTTTTCTAGGAGGGCTTTCTAATATGTCATAGGTGGTAAAAGGTGTATTTTACCGTTTTTCAAACATGCTCCATCAATGATCGTGACGTCATCTAAAGCAATATCACCTGTATCATTCCTTCCTACAATTCCTTCAAACACTATTTGGAAGGCACTCATTGTTTCAACTGAGATTTTTCCAAGTCGCCAAAGGTTTTCTTGGTTGTTTGTATTTGTCCACGCAGGTACACCAACAGTACCTGTTGTATCGACTATGTATACATTCAATGTGTTCACTGTGGCCCCGTACATGTGGTAGAACCACTTAACGCATGTGCCGTTTGTTGCAGGATATGGCAATGTCCAAAGACGAGCGGTTTCATTGTTGTATCGCGGATATGAAGTTTCGATGTACATGTAGGAACCTGCAGGCAAATGAGAAAATAAATGTTCCGGTGTAATAGAGATTTTTTTAGATCTATTTGATGTGTATTCTATATATTTTGTTTTTAGTTTTAAATATTTTCATTAGAAATGTACAATTTAATTTAGAAAATATAAATTCATGTCAGCTTTTTAATACCTTGTAATGTTCCGTAAGTGTGGTCATAATTAGGACCAGTACCAGATGTGGGTGTTGATCCAGACGTTCTTATCCAATCAAAATCATCCGTTTCATCTTGTACAAAGTAACAAATGTATGGATCTTCGAAATCACATTGGGTTTGCGCTAAAAATTATAGAAGAAAAAATAAAAGTAAATGCAGTAGTCACATTGGTTGGAATAACGCAAATAATAACTGTAACTTTAATAGTTGAAAATATTCTACATTTTCCTCTAGGCCTAGCAGAATTTTTTGGCAGTGAGTTTTATCTTATTCCTATCTTATATCTGAGACAAGTTGTCTCAGCTTATATCTAATGAATTAAGTATGAACTTTTCAGTTGATTTAAAAAATTCCATGTACTTTACAAATGTCACTCGTATGGAGTCGAACCGGCCTTCAAAAATTGTTTTATGTTAAAATAACCACACAAAATCTTTGATTTGATATTTTAAATAATATCTTACATTATTCTTCAACTTCATGTTTTTTTTTTTTTGCTTTTTGAAATTTTCGACACCTAAACTAGTATGGCTATACGTTTTCTCAGTATTTTGTGATAATTACTGCTGGTGCACTCCAACAAAATTATAGAATTATAATTTTAAATTATAAAATTATAGATTCATGTTATAGCGGATGAAACACACTTTAACATTTAACTGAATCTAACACAATACATACTGTACAGTCTTTTAAAAAAGTGACCATGTTCTATACATTTTTATTAACCATATTCGGCACACTAGGCTTACCATTATATTTAGCTCAATAGGTAATACACATTTATCACTGTAAAAACTTACACGTATTGCATGTTGGTCCAACAAAACCAGACATACACTGACAGTCCTCAATTCCGTGATCCGAGACACAGACTCCGCCGTTCAAGCAGTCAATATCGCAAGTTTCTTCAATTAGAAATGAAACATAACTTAAAGAAACACTCGTATTAATTTATAACATCATCTTCATGTGTTGCTGTATTTTAATTCTTTGACTTTACCCCACCTCCAATATGGGAATCGTATCTGGGGGAAGGAACACCTACAAAATTACAAAGGAAACCATTTGGAAACTTCTGAAAACAGCTGCCAGTGTTATAAACTCATCAAACCCTAGACAGGCATCTGAACCATTATTTAACAAATTAAAAATACTCAATCATTGTGACATTTACAAACTCAATGTCATACGATTTATGTCAAAAGTCAAATGTGGCAAATTACGTGTTCGCCATATGAACATGTTCTAAATATTTTCTATAAGTATAATAATATTTCCCAAAAATAAAATGCATGTTCCGTTTGCAAGACTGAAGTGGACCTAAATTATGTAATTGTTTTTTGGACAAATTCCCACATGTTTTACGTAAAACTTACAAAGGTCTAAAATTATCTTAAAAAAAAACAAAAGGCCTGGGGAATTTAAAGTATGAAGAGTTTTTGCGAAAATATTGTCGGGAAATATGTGAAAAAAGTATGTTTTTATATCATATCTCTTAACACTAAGGTGGGTTTCCTATGAAAGCGTGTTCGCCATTGATCAGATTGCAAATCGCCTGTATATTCCACATTGTGTTTATCAACCAATCACAGCTTGGAATTGTAAGCTTTGCTGCTAATAAATGCGTCTGCACGAGTCTAGTTGGTAGCGAAAAAGCGAAAAATGAGCCGTTTTGTGGTGCTTGGAAGGGTGGGTGGTCTCTCTCTCTTTCTGAGAGAAAAACAATGTACATTTCGTGTCAATGTACTGTAATACAGGCTGGCCGCGATTTTTTCCCCGTACGAAACATTTGCATGAAACTCCACTCGGGTTGTCTCGACTTACTCGACTCGAAAATCGCATGTCAAAAGGTCATCAGCCAAAGATAAACGTCTACAAAACTTCTGAGATACAGGATTGCTGCTCGCTGTCTGATTTTGAAAAAAAAAAACACATTACCATTCTAATATAATGGGTCGTTTAAAACGACATATGTATTATTTGATTTCGCTACACGAATAATAAAAAGTGTTAGGCCCTAATTGAATTTGAGTTACATACTGTGCACATTTTTATTTTTTAGTTGGCCGCGGTTTTGGATAATGGTTTAACCTATGTCATGACGAATTCGAGTCAACTCGGCACCAAGTCAACTCGGCCACATGTCAACTCGGCTCCAAGTCAACTCGGCCCCATGTCAACTCGGCATTTATTGAATATTTACCAAGAGATTTAAATGCAAAGCCAAAATTAAAGTGTTTTTAAATCGTTGCCTTTGTTATTTCGTTTCATTTACATGCACTTACAATAATTAAAACTGCATTAATAAAAATAATATTAAAATGATATTAATAAAAATTATACAAAGGTATATATGACTTGGGGCCGAGTTGACCTGCTTCCGCCTAGAATTACTAAAAATGAAGGCAGGGATTATAGGCCTAATATAGTATACTGTAGGTGCTTCTTGATTACAAAGCTTAGGCTAAGTTAATTAATGGCGAAATTATATATGGTTATTTATAATTATTATTATTGATAATATTATTGTTATTAATATTATTATTGTTATTATTATTTAATATTAATTACATTACAAGGCTTAGGCCAAGTTCATTAATGCCTGAGTGATATATTTAATTTATTATATTTAATATTTTTTCACTCACTGTCCCATTCATGTTTTAAATTTTGTTGAAAATTTCAGTCAATGGCATGCGAAGGGGCCTAGTCTGGCGGAAGGGGGGGGGGGCTAGCAGGTAGGACCTAACTCAGCTTGGAACTAGGCCGTTCCACTAGGCCCATTATTTAGCTTCTTTTGCTCTAGCCTTTAATATATGTAAATATTTACCACTGGTACTACTATAGAAGAGGGTACTAGCTGTTGTTGTAGTACATTTGATAACAAACATACAAGAAGCTTACAGTTAGTTACAGACGTAGCCTACATCCCATAAATCGATAAGATTTTATAGGCCTGCCGTAGGTAAATAAGGAACAGTAGAGTAAAGCTAATAGAATACTCGAGCGTCACGACATTGCGAAGTGCCTGCTCTTGTTCGTAGTCGAATCAATCGGAGACGGCCCGAGTGGAGTTTCATGCAAATGTTTCGTACGGAAAAAAAATTGGCGGGTGCACACTATCACTAAAAATGTCTGGCAGTGGCCAATCATGATACCTGGTACTATGCCAAATATTTTCCAGTAGGTTACATTAAGTTAACTCACAAGCTGATCTAGGTCGATTTTCGGGGCGGGGTATGAAGGGGTGTCTGGCAGGTACACCCCACCATAAAAAATGTCTGGTGGTGGCCATTCCTGATACCTGGTACTATGCCGAACATTTTCCAATAGGTTTTATCGGGTTAACTCACAAGCTGATCTAGGTCAATTTTCGGGGGCGGACTATAAGGGGGTGTCTGGCAGGTACACCCCACCATTAAAAATGTCTTGGAGTGGCCATTTCTGATACCTGGTACTATGCCGAACATTTTCTAGTAGGTTTCATCGGATTAACTCACAAGCTGATCTAGCTTAATTTTGGGGTACCGGTTTCTTGCGTCTGGCAGCCACCCCCCACCATTGGAAATGTCTGGCATTGACCATTCGTGATATCTTGAATTATGCCGAATATATTCTGATAGGTTTCATTGGGTTAATTCACAAGTTGATCTAGCTCAATTTTTGGGGCCCTTTTTATGCCCCTCCTGACCACACCCACCACAATGGGACCGGCAGATGCCCATTCTCCTACATAGACAGGCACATAGAACATTACTATATACACAAAAATTGGTTAACTTTCCAGCTATGCTGACACCCCTGGGTTCCTGGTCTAATAGTTTATGATTAAAGTGCCTTTCATTTTCAATGGATTACACTCCATTCCAACCATGGAATTACCAGTTGATGGATAGCCCAGTAATGGACAGACCTTGTGCCAGTTCAGTGCAACATTAGTACAACTGGAAATAACATTACAGCAATTGCATTATATTTGTAAACATCTATCTATATATACATTATATATATATAAAGTATATATAGATAGATGTTTACAAATATAATGCAATATATATGTATATATATAATCTATATATATATATAATCTATATATATATTTTCTATATATAAATATATATATATATTATCTATATATAAATATATATATATATTATCTATATATA